CATGCTTGGACGCACGCGCGCACGCGCGCACGCACGCACGCACGCACATACACACCCGCAAGCTAGTTCGCACGCGTGCACGCAATCCCGCAAGCACGCAAGCATGCAAGCATGCGAGCGAGCACACGCACCACACACACACCACACACACACACACCACACACGCACACCACACCACCACACACACACACCACACATACACTACACATACACTAGACTACACCACACCACACCAAACCACACCACACCACACCACACCACACCACACCACACCACACCACACACACACCTGACACCAACCCACACGCACACACGCACACACACAACACACACAGCACACAACTCACACACACACACACACACACACGCACACACGCACACGCCCACCCACACAGCACACACCACACACACCACACACACCACACACACACTACATATACCACACAGACACACACCATTCACACCACAGGCCACGCACACACCCACACATGTATACACACCATCGCCCTCGCAGGTGCTGCTACGGGGGAGGCGGCGGGGGGGATCGTCGGAAGTTTGCGAGCCTCGAGCGCAAATTTGGAGAAGCCCGCCACAGGCGCAGCTTTCAAATCACACTGCGCAACGAAGCCGCCGCATGCGCCGATTTTTTCCCATTGATGGCTTCATTCGTTGATGTGTTCTAGCAGTGGTACGCTTTGTGGGCAAAAACGTCCCTTCAACATGGAAACGGCAAAACAACGGCGACCCGGAACGGCAAGAAAACGGCTCCAGGATTGGAACCTTGGAACCGGAGCCGGAACCGGTCAAAAAACGGCGACGGAACCGGTAAAAAAACGGCGTCGGAACCGGCAAGAAAACGGCAAAACGGAACCGGTAATCAACGGCCCTGTCGTTTCCAGGGCCCACTAGGGTGGTACGTGATTTCGCCCAAGGGGACCGTCTCTCACCACGCGACCTCTGTCTGGGAGGGGGAGGCAGGGGCTTCTCTTCGGCAGGTCGGATCGGCTTCTCTTGGCGCGAACAGCGCGCATCCTGGCGGCGGCAGTAAGCCACTTGTACAGAGCCCCTTCGCGAACTCGGCAGGAACAGAAAAAGGGCACGATGCCCACATGGCTCGTCTTGGATCGGGGAAGCTCGGACGGGGCTGGGACGAGGATAAATCGGTTCCGGAGCGTTGCGGAACGCTCTGAGAAGGCCGCGGCGCCCGAAGCATCCTCCAGAGCCGCCATCTCAGAGATCCCCGATTTGTCCTCACCCGATTTGACCTTCGTCCTGGCTTCGTCTTATGTCTTGGATCGGGGAAGCTCTCGAGCGGAAGCACGGCGAGCAGCTGCGAGCGGGTCTTGGCATCGCCCCTGTCTTCCCGTGGGACCTCGGCACAATGCATGCCCGAGATGCGCTGACGGGCCCGGCACGAGAGGGCCGACGGCCTGCGTGCGTGTTTTTGGCCGTCCCCGTGGCAGGGGTCTCTTCCCCGCAGAGACTGGGCAAAGCTACCGGTCCACACGGAGAGGGTCGCAGATCTGGGCCTCCCCGTTGGGGTCGGAGTGCAGTCGGACCGAGGTGTATGATCGAGGTCGGTTCGGGGAGGGTACACTAGCTTGGCATCGCTCGGACGTGCGCATTTTTCCTTCGGCGAGGACCATCGAGGAGCATCTCTGATCATTTCGCGAAACAACCACGCACGAAACCGAAAAAAGCACAGGGAATGGACGTCCGAGCGATGGCCAGCTAGTGTTCTTCGTACTTGTTGGACGTTCTGGTGCAATCCTGGGGAGGGTGCCCTTGGCTGTTCTGCGTGTTTTGGCCGGCGGAGGGTCTCATGTTCTTGGAGGATGTTCTTCTGGCCTGGGTCCGACTGTGGGGTCGGAGGATCGCGCCGCATCGCCGATGCAGCTCGATGCGGAGCCCGATTTGCTTCAGGTCGATGTCGCCGATGTATCGCCGACGTCGGCGATGCATCACCAGTGCATGCCGATGTATCGCCGATGCCTCGGCGATGCGGCATGATCCTCAAACCACATTTACTCCGACCACATCTAGGAGGCCTCTAGTAGATGAAGTAGACTAGTTGTTCGAGGCTTGTAGCGCCCGCCTCCTTTCAGGAAAAACTGAGCTGCAAGCCTCTCGCAAGAGCGAACCTCGTCAGCCACGTTGTCTGGTTGGCTGGCGATCAGGCTATGCGCATGTCACTCCTGTCTGTATCTCGCCGTAGCTTTCTCATCGCGTTGCTCCTGTGTTGCCTACGCTTCGCCAAAGTAATCACGTAATTTCCATATGCCCCCCACGCCAATCTTCTTCTTAATCCTCGTGACTTTTCTCGCCTTCGATCGGCAAGGTCAGTGATTTGAGCCCAGAAGCTCCGGCAAAACTTGGCAGTGGCTCGTCATGGCAAGATTGCGCGCTCAGTCAAAAGGTGCGCCATGATGCGCAACAAGTAATGCTCACTGTGCCACACTGTAAGTACCCGCCGAGGAATGCGTCCGACTTGTTACTGAGTTGTTTCGCTCTAGTTGCACATGGTTTCCAGTGTAATGGCTTGGTCATTCCCACTGTCGGAGGTCGGGGGGTGAGATCGCAGTGGAAGGGAGATGCGTCCACCAGGAAGTCGGTTTCGGTTTCGTGTTCGTGTCGCGCGTGCGGGCGAGGCGAAGCTGCGTGGGCGCGCGAGAGGAATGATGCCGCCGTGGCTAGGGGCTGTGGAGCCGGTTGTCCGCCCCACCCCCCCCGGCGCGCGGTGGCAGGGGGTGTCCCGTCGGCGGCGCGTCGGTGCCCCGTCGGTGTCCTGTCGGTGTTGCCGCTGTGGCTAGTGGCGGTGGAGCTGGTTGTCCGCCCCTTTCGCACCAGCGCGCGGTGCTCGGGGGTGTCCCGTCGGTGGCGCGTCGGTGTCCCGTCGGTGTTCCGTGTCCCGAGAAGGGCGGTGAGATCGATGATTCGATCGTTTGGGAGATCGATCGTGAGAACCGTTGTGAGATCGATCGTGAGATCTGTTGTGAGATCGATGGTGAGATCGCTGGTGAGATCTAGAGTGGGATCGACAGTGATATCGATCATGAGATTGATGGTGAGATCGATCAGGAGATCGATTGTGAGACTGATAGTGAGCACTGTCATGAGATCGGCAGCGAGTCCGAACGTGAGAATGATAGTGAGTTCGATTGTCAGATCGACGGTGAGATCGATGGTGCGATCTGCTGCGAGATCGATCGTCGCTGACCCGAGGGCGCATCACCCGCATCGTCCCCATTACAACCACCAAGACTGCGATCAGTCGGTTCTTTCCCCCCCTCGATCTCCTTATCACACGAAGGGTGGTCGTATAAGTACACGCCGGTCGCTGAAAGTAGGTATTTTAGGATTCCCAGATCCCCATCTACTTCAAGCGCCTTCCTACTTCAAGAATCGACACGCTTTTGCCGTGTTTTGTTATTCCCTGGGGGGGCCTGGACCCAATCAACTTGATCCGCCTTCCTACTTCATGTTTTTACCTACTTCATTCGACCGACGTGTCGATTTCCAGGCTTTTTTGAAGTATGCTGCAGTATTGAAACCGCACGGAGGTTATATGTCCTTCGTCTCCGCTGGCTTCCTCAACATTGCCCTGCGTTGTGTGGTTCTCTCGGGCGTCCATTCTGTGACCCAGGTGGATGTCTAAACTTCGAGCAGTTTCTTGCGCTGTCTTAGTATTTGATTCGTGTGCCTCGCCTTGCTCCGAGCTGTCGTGTAAGATCATTTCGGCGACGTGTATAACTCTTCGATATCTTGAAGCTGTGGCCCTCTATTGCCACCCCCCAGGTTGAGCCATCTAGGGAACACCTTGGAATAACCTCTGGCTTTCTTGGAGCTTGAATGGGCCACCTGGGAGCCTCTTGGGAGCATCCTGAGGCCTCCAGGGTCCACCTTTGGGTTTTATGCGTTAGTTGGGCCATCCATCGTCTCCTGGGAGCCATCATGGGAACTCTTAGGAGCAGCTTGGACCGACTTGGGGCCTGTCGGAGCCACCTTGGGCGATGTTTGTGCCTGGGGGCCATATTGAGCGCTCCTGGCGCCATCCTGGGGCCTCTGAGGTTGGTCCTGGAACCGTCCTGGGACATTTTCGGAAGAAATATGACGAGTACGAAGAACCATCGAACACCTTCAGGTTTGCCACGATGCCTTGCCCTCTGAGAGCCTCTCGGGGCCCGCTAAGTGGGTTATGGGGGTCCCCTCCTGGACCGTCGTGGGGCCACCTTGAGACTATATAGGTCCATGTTTTGTGCTCTTGGGGCTGTCTGTCGAACATCTCGGGGCGCCTCTTGGGCTCTCTTGGCAGTCTTCTGGCGACCCGATGGGGCTCCTTCGGAAGCCCAGAGCGGCCAGGAGGCCGAGTTACCCCTCCACAGTTCGTTTTCCAGGGCTGGGGGGTCGAGGGTCTCCTTCGCAGACAGTCAAGAAAAAGCCAAACAACAAGACACAAGAGACATGATGTGGAGAAAGAGGGGGATGACAAAGAGGAGGAGGGGGAGTTCAATGAGTGGAAGGACGAGTTTTACCTTCAGCCGAGAACTTCTGTGGGCCGTTCGCATCAAGTACCCTTCGAGTTGAACGTGCAGGGCGGTGACACGTATCTTGGCGGCAGGACCAATCATAGGAGCGCGGCCCGAACTTTCGACCCACTGGACTTGCAAAAGGAACGCCTTGGTCGGCGAGTTTGGGGAAAGCGCCGGGTTCCGGCCAGATCGGAGGCCCGGAGTGGCCTCAAACCCTCCTGCTCCCCGCTCTCGCCCCTGCGAGCGGCGCCGACGTTGAGAACTGAGGCCCGCTCGCACAGGCGAGTGTGAGTACCGCGGGCCAAGTGAGCCCAAGGGGGGGCGAGCAAGGGGAGCTGGGGCCTCAGAACGCCCCGCGCGGATGCGGTTTCGAGGGCCTTCGGTGGAGCTCCCCGTTGGGACATGAAGCGTGGGAGGGTGTGCCGACGCCGAGGCGGCGCCGCCATGCGGGCGCTGCCGCTTTTCTGAGGC